ACATGGCGCCGGGGTCCAGCCAGCCGCCTCTCGAGCTCGCTCGGGCCGCGCCGCGCCGCGCCGCGCGGGCGGGGACCGGGAAGGAGGGGGCGGGGCCAAGCCCAGACCCTGCCAGTCGAGACCCGAAGACCGGAGCGCCGATCGCATCGAGCCCTGCATTGCTCTTTCCTTGTTTCCTCGTCTCACTTAGTATTTTTTCCCATCTTTCTTCCCTCCCGTCCTCTGAATCTTCCCGCAGATCAAGAAGTGCGACCTCCTCGGGGAAGCCCTCCTAGTTCCCGCCCTCCAGGCAGTCCTGGCCATACCTTCTTGCCCCTCGCCCTCTTGCGTACTCCTTAATGACACCAAACGAACGCATGGCAGCCGTTGACATCACTGACCTGTCAACCAGAGTGTGATGACCCTGGAGGGTAGTGACTTTGACTTTCGGGTTCTCAGCGTCTAGAATGGCGTCTGGCACAGTCTCAGGACACTCTTTTGTCTCTCTTGCCATTTCTCCATCCGTTACATCTCCTTTCTGATCCACCCATCTCCCTACACCCATCTATTGCCTTGGAATAATCATAATCTGGTTGTAACAATGGGCTCAAACATAAGAACACGTGTGCGGATGGTGCGGGACCAGCGGCGTTCCCTTCTGTTGTGCATAGTAGGGTCGTTATGTGTCAGGCCGACTGGATTGCACCTAACAGCAAGAACAACCCAGTACCTTTGAGCGGATTCCTGCTCAGAGCGACCCTACAGGGCGGGCTAGAACCGCCCCAGAGGGCTTCTGCTGTTGAAAATATGGAAGCAGATGGCTACATGCTTCTCTGCTTGACCCTGACACTAAACCAAAAACAAAACAAACACACCCAACCCCACTGCCCTGCAGTCTATTCCGACTCAGAGTGAAATAGGAAAGGTGGTAGGAAAGAGCCGTCACAGGTTTCCAAGAGGTCATATTTACAGAAGCAGACTTCTATATCTCCTGGGCATTGGTCTGGGGGATTCCAGCCTGGGTCTCTTGGTTAACAGTCAAGCCCTTTAACCATTGTGCCCCAGGGCTCTCTTATTTCCCTAAAACCAAATCAAAACACTGCTATCAAGTAGATGTCCACTCATCGTGACCCTATATTGACATAGTGACAGGGTAGAATTACTTACCCCTGTGAGTTTCTGAGACTGTTATTATGGCAGGAGGAAGTCCTGTTTTTTTCCCCACAGCAGGTGGCGGTTTGGAAACTGCTGACCTAGCAGATAATAGCCCAACATACAACCACTAGCCACCAGGGCTTTCTTGCTTCTGAAGGTCCCACTACACACCACACAAACATATATTGTACATTATTCCCAGGATACACACACGCACACATAAATATGAAAATGGAATTTAAAGGTAATGGATTACATATACATATTTACATATCTATCTCCCTAGTGGTGTAGTGCTCAACTGCTAATGGAAAAGTCTGAATTCAAGGTACCAACTTCTCTGTAAAGATTACAGCTTTGGAAACCTCTGGCGTAGTTCTAATGTGTCCGATAGGGTCACTGTTAGTTAAGATGTGCTTTGGTTTATGTTTTATGCTCTAATATTTTTAAATTTTTGCTTTTGAATTTTTTAAACCCAAAAGTAACTCATATATAATGCATCTCTTGCTTTTACCTGAGTAATGGTTGTCATGAATCTGCAATTTCACAGATCAAGATGGGAAATGGAAGAACAGCTAACAACAATTGTCCTACTTTTTTGGACATTCTAAAAATTAATCTTTGGGGTCAGCTATGATTTAGAATTTCTGGTCAGTAGGATTTTGCATACAAAAAATCTTAAAAAATGAGGGAAAATCCTATCACAAAAGAAAACCTGAGTTTGGGTAGTGATTTATAACAATATGTTGATTTTTAGACAGTAGCTTGTGTCAATAGGTAAGGTAGGGTCTTTCAAAAGTCTGAATTTTGTTCGATGTGTGAAAAATTGCTTACTGTAGTTTCTCTGGACTTAAAGTTCATTAAATTAAAAAAATGACTCAACTTACAACTGTTCTGATTTCTTAGCATCTACAAATGATCAGAGTTTTTTTGAAATAAGAAATCTAACTTTGAAATTGCTATAAGATTTAAAACATACAATCCTAATTTTTAAATAATTTATAAAGGTATCCTGAATTTGATGTTAATTTTGAAGATATTAAGCATTTGGTCATTCAAACTTTGTAATTATCTTTTTATATTTGGGATATATATATATATATAAAGATTTTTAAGAGCTTACAGACCCTAGGCATTGGAACAATATGCCCAGTGTATGAAATGATCCTGTCTTGCCTTGTACATGGGATGGAGAAAAAGAATTATTGGATCTAATAATCTGTTGTCATGATAAAAAAAGCTGCACAAGCCCTGAGGTAACAATTATGTAATTTGAGGGAAAGGCAATAGAGGTACATCCAGTGAGAAGATAGTGGAGCTAAATAATTATAAGGTAGTGGAACTACTCACAGAGCCCCAGAAACCAGGAGATCAGAGTAGGATGGGGCCCAGAGGGGCTGGAACTAAAACTCACGCAGGTCTCTGGAGCACCACTTGCACTTGCCGAGTGTGTTGGAAGCTCCCTCAATGTGAGCCTCTCCTTCAAGAACTTGCAACAACAGAGAAAATACAAAGAGTCTCCAAAAATGCATGGAAAAATGAATATGGAAAAATGCATGGGCTTCAAAATATTTCTGCATCAAAATATATTTGTACCTGAACTTTTATAACATGTCTAAACAGGATCGAATTTGAGACGTTAAGGACAAGACATCGGTTTGCAAAGAACCCATAGGAGAGCAGCAGTCCAAAAAGCCGCACTCACGCCTTGGGGCGATGCTGATGCATTTAGGACAGGGTCGTAATGCCATTGGTTGTTTTCAGACAGTGATTCTTTGTGGGTCTAGAAAACTGCATCTGTCTTTCCCCTGAGAAGCAGCTAGTGGTTTCAATCTGCTGACCTTGTATTTAGCAGCCCAAATCATAACCACTACCCCACCAGGGCTCCTCTGAGAGCAGCTCTATCGGTTCTGCTAAAACGGAAGTGAGGACAAATGTCGAGTTTATGGTCAGATTTTGGGAGAAGAGTGGTGAAATCACAGTTGATGGGTACAGTGTCCCCAAAGAAATAAGCAATTTATAAATTAGTAGCTCATTTTAAGAAGAGATAAGATATTTAAGCTGAAGGCCACAGCAGCAGATCATCCACACCAGTTTCAGGGGGATCTTCTTTGTGCCCCGGTTGAAGAGAAGGCCGGTTGACCGCAGAAAAAAATAGTCAACACCATAGACGTCTTATCTGGTTCAGCTTACACAATTCTGACAGAAAATAAGTAAATAACGTTGAGCAAACTTTCCACTTGATGGGTACCGCAAGTGCACCCTGATCAGCTGCAGACAAAAGCAGAGCTTTCAATGGAACTTAAACCAGCGGGATCAAGGTCCTGAAGCATTTCTTGGAAGAATTACAATAAAAGATGAAACCTGGTCTTTCCAGTAAGATCCTGAAGACAAAACACAACCACAGCCATGGTGGAAGTGGTCCAGTCAGAGCAGATGGACCAAAAGTGGATGGGTCAAGAGCAAAGGTCATAGGATGTTCAAGGCATTTTGCTTGTTGACTTTCTGGAGGGGCAGAAAAATGATACCATCTGCTCATCAAATAGGACAATTTGGCAAGAGTTCCTACCAGAAATCATTAGGTATCTAGCTCTCATACAGCCCTGCTTTGTTTCCTAATCTCAAAAAAAAAAATGTTTTTTTCTCTTGACTTAGGAGAAAAAAAATGTGAAAGACGTAGCCAGCGGTGGTTAAAATGAGGGTCCACTGTTTTGCATTCTTCTGTCCTTTGCCATAAATGAGAAATGGAAGAGAAACAAGAGCACGTAAAGGAGCAAAACCAAGGGCCAACTCTGCACCCAGAGCCCCACCGGCCAGGGGCCAGGAAATCAAACCAGAAGACAGCGATAGGCAAAAAGCAAACCTTGACCTAAGTCTCACATCTTATACAAAACTTAAAATGGATCGTGGACTTCAATGTAAAAGATAAAGCCATGCAACTTTTAGGGGAAGAAAAGTAGGGGAGGACTTTGGTAATCGGAGACTATGTAAAAAATTCTTAGACTTGATACCAAAAGCATGATCCCTAACAGGGATAATTGCATGTGATAAATTGCACTTCATCAAAATTTTTAAAATTACATTTGCTTTGAGTAAGACCCCATTAAGGGCATGAAAAGACAAGTTATAGAATGGGAGAAAACATTTTAAAATCTCAAATCTAACAAAAGACCAGTATCCAAAACACATAAAGAACTCTCAAAACCTTATTACTGAAAAAATAAGAAACCCAAATAATCCAATTAGTAAATGGACAAAAGACACGAAGAAACATTTCGCAGCAGAGACATTTATTTCACAATAGCTGGCAATTAAGCATGTTAAAAGATGTTCAGCATCATAAGCTACTATGGAAATTTGAATTAAACCCACAATGAGGCATCACTACATACCCATTGACCAACAACAAATGACAAGGCCACAGCCAATTGAGTTGATTTTGACCCGTAGTGACCCATGCAGGGTTTCAGAGTCTGTCAATAGTCACTGCAGCAGCTGCTGGCTGTGGTCACCCACCTTAGAGTTGGCAGTCCAACGCTCACCTGACAGCGCCACCAGGGCTCCCTCATACCTATCACGGTGACAAAAATAAAACACAGCGACATCATCAAGTGCCAGTGAGGATGTGGAGGGACTGAATTATTCACACACGTTGGAATGAAGGACCCCTTGTGATGTAGTGACAAGTGCTTGATTGAGTGTTCAACTGCTAACTAAAAAATCGGTGGTTTGAACAATTTATCATCGCCTCCATGGGCGAAAGATGTGGCAATCTTCTCTCCTAAAGATGATCATTTTGGAGACCCTATAGGGCAGTGTTACTGTTTTCTACCGGGTCGTGGGTCACGATGAGCTGGAATTAATTTGGAGGCAAAGGTTTTTGATTTGGTGGGATGTAAAATGGCCATAGCCCCTCACCAAAACAACGGGCAGTTTCTTAAGAAGATGAAACATGTAACTTCCATTTAACCTAGCATTTGCAGTCCTTACTACATAGCCCAAAGAAATAAAGA